GCCAAACCGCTGCAAGGGTTTAGCTTTGTGGAGGGCTGGGATCCCTGTATTGAATACCCTCTCTGCATGGCACAGCACCTCCTCCACGTGCTGTAGAAACTCTCCCTGCACCGACATGAATCCCTTCACCACCACGCTGGCGTAAGCAGGTGATGTCTTGTCCCCTTTTGCTCTGCTTCCTGGGACACCACCATGGCATGCACCACACGACGAGCGATGGGACGGCCCCGCATCCCGCTTTGCTGGCAGCTGCTTGAATTTATACTTCACCCGGGCAGTGGCAGTGATGGCAGGGAGATAGTCCCCAGGATAAATTAGAATTTAAAGTTATCTGCTGTTGCTGTCTTGTTCATAGTCTTGTGGATGGAGCATTTTTTTAATATGGGGAAAGGGTGCATTAAGCATTGGTATTCAGCACGAGGCTGTGTGCAATGCATCGCTGCTCGCTGTCTGCCCAAGCCGCCTGGGAAGGCAGCAGCGGCCTCAAGCCTGTCTTTTGGTGAGAAAAGAGCCCAGGAGAGAAGAAAGAGCTGCTGTGCTCTTCAGCCTGCTGGGAATGTCAGTCTCAGCCTCACTCTCCCCCCCGCCTCCCTCCCTGAAATATGGTCGGGGCCCTGAATCAGCCCATCAGGGAGCTTTAGTACTATAGGATGCTCTGGACCCTTGGTGCTGGGGAGTGCTCAAAATTCACATTGGCAGCAAGGAAAGGATTTGCATGTTTTGCTGGATCACTCGAGCTGTCAGAGCGAAGGTAGTCGGCAGGTAGCACAACTGCAGATAAATCTATACATCTTTATTATGTCTCGTTATGTTGCTGATTTACAGTTTCGCTGTGCTATAGGAATACAGTATAAAAAAGTCCATTTGCTGATTTTTATTTCTTCTCGTCGACGCTTAATTTTACAGTGCTCTAATTTGAGATGCCAGCTGTTCACTGACAAAGTTTCTCTGTGTCAGAGGAGTAAATAACAATGTGGCGCTGTGGGTTCTGCCCTGGACCAGAGCCCTTTCTGAGGGCAATGTCTACGGGCACGGTTCCTGCCCCGTACACCTGGCAGGAACGGGGAGGGGGCTGCAATTAAAGGGGGAGGGGGGAAATTTAGGGAGACAGTGCCTTTGGGTCAGGAAAAAAAAGTGGTTTTCTCCATTTTTCTTGGGAAAAATCTTGAAAATATGTTGTCTGCTTAAGGTACGAAGAGTGGGATTAGCTTAAGGTTCCCGAGACAGGTTGCAGCTTTTTGGGGGTAACTTGCTATTTACTGATCCTTCTCCCCAGCCTTTGTGAGTCCTCCAGTCTGATATTCTGGGGAACTGATACCATTTTCCCTGCTTCTGGACGTGTTCCCTACCCCCCATCCCGTAAACCCCCTTTGACATCTCCACCATCTGCTAATGGGATTTTGGGGGAGCCCCATGATGGGATGTCTGTGGTGCCTTGAGTCCAGGAAAGCCCTTTCCAGGGAGGCACTGGTCCCTGGCATGTGCATTTACTCTGCTAAAGGGGAAAATAATTCACAGGAATGAAATATTTTTATTTTAATGGTTTTTTTTTTTTTTAAGGCTGTCAGTTTTCTGGGCGTTTTAACAAAACGCTTTCATTTGCGGTGTCTGCAGCAACAGCTCAGCGAGGCTCCCAAAGTGCCTGCGATTAAGGGAGCAGGGGGAGAGGGCAGCGCAGACAGGGAGATGGGCAGGGGTGGCTGCCCACGGGCCCTTTGGGCTGACCTGCCATGGGTACTGGAGCTGGAGGTCCTCTACAGGGGCTGACCCCTCCATCCCACCAGCCACGTCACCCCTGTGCTGACAAAGCTGCCTCTGCACAGCCTGTCCCCATCCGATAACGGGGCTGATTTATCTGCAATGCTGATGATGTTCCCCAGCCCACACACGTGGAGGGTCTCTCGGGATGGTTTTCCCCACGATGCAGCACGCTTCGCTCTCTTAACCTCTCCTCGCAGGTCAAGTCCTTCATCATTTTTATTGCTCCCCCCACATCATGGCAAAGTCCTTTTTCTTCCTCGGAAGTGCAGCACCGAGCCCAGCCAGCACACGTAATTAATTGTTTTCCTTATTTAATATAACCCAGCAGCTGGATTTTGTGGTTTTGGCTGTGGAGCCATCCTGCCTAACCCCAAATCCTTCCCCAGACCTGAGCAGACGTTATGTTTGTGCCTCAGTGATTTTTTATTCCTCCTGAATCGCTCCCTATCGACTCCGTCCCTGTTCCAGCAGCGCGTGCAATCGGAGCCGTGTTCAACTCCCGTCCTCCGAAGCATTTGCGGTGGCTCCCGGCGGATTTGATCAATGCAGTGTTGATCTCTCGGCCGTCATCTGAGCTGCTCACAAAACAGCGAGCGGTGCCGGCAGCGGAGGACGGCCTTCCTCTGTGCTGTTAAATACCCGTGCTCCCGACTTGCGATATCGAACCGTTAATAACCACTTGCCATTTTTGATTCTCTCTTGCCCACTGCTCCTCTGTTTCTCCGTGGTGGTGGCTAAGTGGTGTTTCTCTCGCTGTGATAATCTGTTTGAGGTACTTACCCATGTGAGCACTAGAGCTCTTTTGGCATCTCCTGATCATTAAAATGGGTCCATCTTTGCAGATGGATCTGTGTGCACTCTGCATGGGGGTTTATTTTGGACACTAAGTGGGTTTGTGGCATGGGAGTCCCCATCCCCAACCGTGAAACCTCCCTCTGCATCCGGCGATGCAGGTGGTCAGTGTTACTGATGGAGAGAACCTGACTCCAAATCGCGCAAAGCCACAGAGACCAAATCCCTGCTGAGCTGGGAGGTAGACCGGCAGACAGAGCTGTGGGGTGTCCTCTGTGCTGCAGCCCCCCGGGCTGAGCCCCGGTAACATAACATTTGCAAGAGCCTGCCTCAAGCACTCTCCTTCCCCACAGGTGTCCCATCCGGGCCCCGCAACGTCATCTCCATCGTCAACGAGACGTCCATCATCCTGGAGTGGCACCCGCCACGAGAGACTGGGGGTCGGGACGATGTCACCTACAACATCGTCTGCAAGAAGTGCCGGTCGGACCGACGTGCCTGCTCCCGCTGCGACGACAACGTGGACTTTGTCCCCCGGCAGCTGGGGCTGACAGAGACCCGGGTCTTCATCAGCAACCTGTGGGCGCACACGCCGTACACCTTTGAGATCCAGGCTGTCAACGGCGTTTCCAACAAGAGCCCCTTCCCACCGCAGCACATCTCTGTCAACATCACCACCAACCAAGCCGGTGAGTCCCGGGACAACGTGGTGCCAGGGGTTTTAATCCATACCCTACCAGTGAGCTCTGAGTCCGAAGGAGAAAACTCCCGGGGTGCGTGTGGTGCATGATGGCTGTGATTTACCCCCTGGGCAGACTCGGGGAAGGCGGGAGGCAGAGAGAAAAGCAAAAAAAAAAAAAAAGAGGGAGGGAGAGAGATGGGGAGGTGCAGGGAGTGCCTGTGCCCTGGGCAGAGTGACAGCTGAGTTGCAGGAGGGAAGGGTTGAGGACCAATGTCTACTTTTATCCCTCTCTAGATTGTTGGGGATGAAATAGCATCACCATTTCTCTATTTTTCCCAGGTGGGAGCAGGGAGATGGGGTGAATCCAGCCTCCAAACTGGAGCTGCATTGCAGCATGGGGGGAGCAGCATCCCAGGGCTGAGCTCAGTTCCATCTCCTCTGGTGCATTCCTCTCCCATCATTTTCCCTTTCTCCCCATTTCCAGTCTCCCTTGACTTTCTCCTTCCCTCTTCCTGATCCACTGTCAGGAGCTGAACAAGCAGCTCTGGTCCAAGCTGGGATGCTGGCGGGATGGGGTGTGCAGATGGCAAGGGAGGACCTGGTCCTGGGCTGCAATGAGGAGCGCAAGGAGTGGAGGGGATGGAAACCCATCTGCTCTGGGCAGACAAAGGGGATGGTAGTTTCTGCTTTGTGCCGAGCATGTCACGCAGGCAGCCTTCACCAACCTGCTCTCTCGGGAGAGCACGACAGAGAAACCTGGCGTAAATGTTTTAGTCTCCTGGCTCTGGGGAATATAAATCTATGCTTGTGGCTGCCTGGCATCGCTCCCTCCTGAACCATCTGCCTCTGGTTTCCAGGCCTTTTCTCCTGGGGTGAGGCTTTTGGGGTGTTTCTTTGCTCGTCCTCCACCCCAGAGCTGCCCGGGAGCTGGCAACAGCCAGGGATCCATCTGTCCCAGGTCCATCTGTATGTACCCCCGTGCACCCTCTTTGCCTTGCTGAATATTGACGTGGAAATGTTCCCCGTGCTGCAGGATGGGCTGCAGGGTAACCTGATGGAAATGCATTGGGGTGTCAGGGATCAGGGCTGTGCCTTTAAAATCCCTGTGGCTTTGCAACGGGCTTTTCCACCCCCATTCCCCGTGCGGGGCTGGATCCAGGCTGGTGAGTGCATCTCATGTGCCAGTGCTTTGCCTTGCTGAATATTGACGTGGAAATGTTCCCCGTGCTGCAGGATGGGCTGCAGGGTAACCTGATGGAAATGCATTGGGGTGTCAGGGATCAGGGCTGTGCCTTTAAAATCCCTGTGGCTTTGCAACGGGCTTTTCCACCCCCATTCCCCGTGCGGGGCTGGATCCAGGCTGGTGAGTGCATCTCATGTGCCAGTGCTGCCCC